TAAATAAATAAATAACCAATAAAGAAAATTGTTCAATAAATAATTATTTAATCAATAAATGACTGATGTGTTGAAAATACAATTTCTCATTAGAAAATTCCCTAAATGAAACCAAAACTCTGTTATAGGGAAACAAACCCTAAATCAATCCAATACTTTCGACGAATGCAGAAGAAACGAAAAAAAAAAAAAAATCGGATCGATTCTTGAACACAACACACAGTCTCATCACATCGGGATGTCACTTAAACGAACACGCACGCGTACACGTGTAGCGCGGAACAAAAGCGGTCTGACCGGTGGCGTTCTTCGAGCGAGAAGCGCATTCTTACACCGGAGGACCAGGTTGTTTTGGAGGTCCTTTTGTTGAGTAAGAAAAAAAATAAAATGCCAAGAGCCGAGCAAAAACTTTGGTGGACTATTTTGTTGGGTATTATAAGTACGAGCCTGTTTCTTGCATCTTACGCGCATTATCAACCCCATGAGCGTGACTCGATAAACGGCTAATGTATCTTATCGCGCCCGAGTTGCTGTACTGTATAATTTGCTGCTGCTCGCTCATTTTCTTTGACCGCATCACTTCGTTTTTGCTGCTGCTGCTGCTGTAATTTTATTTTTTTTTCATGACACTGTGTGCTTTGTTTGTGTTTGACAACACTTATTATTATTATTTTTTTCTTGTGTAACTTCGTAAGGTGAGGTTAAATAAAAGGCCTTGGGCACTGTGTATGAAACAATACCGAGAATTTGTGTGCTTTTCACGTGAACTTGCTTTAAAAATTTTACGTCTGGTCTAAAAAAAAACTGGTTCTTCATTTTTTTCTGGTAGCTGATTGTCCGTACGCTTTGTGCGTCGTTGTTAGAGTCTAATTTATTTGATGAGAGATTTACGAGATCCTCGATTCGGACACACCATTTTTATTCTAAATTTATCGAGTGACTCGAAACTTCAGTATAGTTCAGTTTTATTAAAAAACAACGGTTAAAAAATTTTATGAGGTTTGTGTCTTTGTACATTGTGTATTTATTTATTTTGTAAACAATATATATAACTTATTTATGAAATATTGCGTTGTCTCGTAATGTATGTTATTTCGGTAGAAATCGTTAAAAAAATACTTTTAACTCCCGAAAATAACCAACATACAACATTTTAGTTTACGAGATACATTTAATTTTGGCTGTAGTGCTTTTCCTCGTATATTTTCTAACTAAAATTTCCAGCTAAAATAAATTTATGACTCACGACGCGTTCTTAGTGATCTTTGTAGTTACTACGGCTTCCTTATTCTTTGCTATTATGTATTATTAGTGGTCAACTTGAGAACTTTTTTTTATAAAAGTTATTGCTTTCAATAAAACGTACTGTATGGAAATGTAATCATCGACTTTTTATTAATTTTTCTTTTTAACTAATTATTTCCCGGAAAAGCTCATAAATCATCAACATTTAAAATTAAATTCGTCTTTACTTGGAGTAATACGAAATATTATTTTTAGATTTTTAGATATAGCATGTATTCGTAGATATACTTTTGACATTGATTTTATACGCAATTTCGACCTACTAACTTGATTACAGTAAGTAGCGATTACATTTCTTTTATATCACAGCTCGTACTGCAGCCCATTTGTCGCTCAAATATGTATGTAATAGACCTAAATATTTTAAATACATTATTATGATAAATTTCGTTCATTTCCCAGAAAAAGAGCACAAAAAAGATGACATCCCCTATTACACTTGCTAGCAGTTTTGATTCATATTAATTGATGTTTGTGAAAAAAATCGTTTTCAAACCGATCTTCCGAGCAAAACCTCGAAAAGCAAAGTAACCCTTCGAAATTACCGAACAATAATCGTACAACACGCTCGTTCACGAGCACCAAGCAAATTCCATCGACTGCCCAGAAATCGGCCAATTGCACTCGATCATACTTTCTTCTCGGAACACCTTCGATCGATCATTAAAAAAAAAAAGGGGGAGGAAAAAAATCGTGTAGCCAGTGTAGTCGCGCAGAAATAATATACAAAAAGGAATCCAGCATCAACGGAGCACGCACGCCCGCACTACGTATCAACATACATCAATATGTTAAAAGCGCGCACGTGCACGACGCGACGATCCGGCGCGATCGGCGCACTAGCCGGCACTGAAGAATCTTCTCCTCCAATTTGGAAAGGTCGACCGGCATCGAGCTAAAGCGCCGCCAAGGAGGAGCTTAGCGAGTCGGCCTCCGTGTTCGCGGCACACGTGTATACACGCATGAATATATAGCCAAGGTATATACGCGACGGAAGATTCTTTGCACATGTGTGCGGTGCTTTTATATACGAACACGCGATATGTGTTGGCTAGAAGATCTTCTTGTGGAGCGAAGACGAAAGAGAGAGAGAGAGAGAGGGCGAATAAGGGTTCCCCGTAGGAATTCTGGCGAGGTAGGTATAAAACCTTTGCCTCACCTAAATTTAGAAATTCCCGTATAAGCCGCGCTATGGAGAGAAGAAATAGAGGCTGAGAGACGAGTCTCTCGGTCTGTCTTGCGTACGGTAGCGCGTCTTACAGCGTTATGGGAGATTTTGGTAAAGATTCTGGGTGTCGGGTTATTGTGTTTACGTGAGAGGACATTATTTGGATTTTTTGAAAATTTTAGTCTTTTGTTGGCTCAATTTTTTGTTTTTTTAACAAGATTATCGGAAAAAAAAACTATTTCGTCATCATCAAGATACAACTGATGAATTAAAATTTGTTAAGAAAGAAAAGGCATTTGTAGTTAAAAAAACATCTTGGTATTGTTGGTCATTACATGGTATTCTGTAAACTCGAATCTTATCATGAAGAGGAAAAATTTTCCATTTTCCATGAAAAAAATTTGATTGACAAGAACCGTGTATCAATTGAAATTTTTTCACCATTAGACCTTATCAATATTCATCCAACGACGAAATGGTGAGGATTCTGGCTCACAATTAATTAGCTCTTAATTTTATGAAAATACTTATAAAAAATTCATTAGATGATAGAGTAATCAACATTAATGTGAGTGAAAAAACGCTTCAATTATCGAAGGGATGAATAAAAATGATTGCAGTAGGAAAAACTAATTAGTAAAGATTTACGTTGAATGCTGGTAGCATTACTAGTATTACGATGTAATTTATTTATAATTTTGTTGTATTCATGTTCAGTTAACTAGTTTTATGATTTCATTTTGATCTTCATTGAAGACATTGTCAAGTTTCTTGTATTATTTATGTTAAGAATAATTATTTAAAAAATTATTGTAAAATACAGCTATTTAATATCCGGAAATAATCTGAATCTTTCTGAACAAAGCTACTGCCGTAATATTTTGAAATGTACAGAAATGAGTAGATGTTTCTTAATTAGTAGGAAAAAATGATATTTTAAAATTTTGTAAAAAAATTAAGATATAAATTTTATCACAAAATCTATAAAATCTTTAAGGGAAAAGCCGAAATTTTAAAAAACGGTAACTTATATGTCTTTGAGAAATCACTAAACAAGACTAAATCGTTAAACAATGCAGTTAATTAAAAAATGTAAGAAAAAAAATTGGCTGATTTAAAACTTTTTAGTTAACAGCAACTAAAAAATCGTTCCAAAAGTAGCTGTTTTGATTTTACTAAGAAAAATCGTCGCTATAAAAACTATTTAACAAGGTAGCTATTTTAAAACAACAAAAAATAAAGTATTAAACAGCAGTCATTCTTGAATTGAGGGATGGCTACTTGGAAAACGTATTAATCGGATCAATTTTGTACGGAAAGATATTATTTTAATGGTATATATTTAGAAAAAGTAGTTATTATAAATCTTTGAAATAACTTTCTACCTTAAATTATCTTTATCAAAAATTGTACAACATAGCAAATTTCATACAAAAATTTTTTTTACATTTTGCAATATCTCTTCATCATTTGAACTGGACTTTCTGAAGAATTTTTTATATTAAGCAAAAGAGAATCAAAAAAACAATTTTCCTATAAATTTTTATCATTGAAAATGGCACGTTACGAGATACATTTAATTTTGGCTGTAGTGCTTTTCCTCGTATATTTTCTAACTAAAATTTCCAGCTAAAATAAATTTATAAATAACAATTTTGCACTACTTCGATTCTGTAAAAAAATTCTTATGCGAAGTGTTTATTGCATACTGTATTAATTTTTAAATATCTCCTCGTAATAACACAAATAATAACAAGTACGAATTCTGAACTTCGTTGTACGTTACAGCACATTTTTAGTATTTTTGTAGTATATTATTTTAGTGTTTAAACTTAAATAACACTGATAAGTAACTTTAAATTTTTATTTAAAAAAAGCATTTTGTGAACTGTTTTAAAAATTAATAAAAAATAAAAATGGATTTTGACCACAGAACCTGGTAGTGACT